TAAATCAAGTCTTACAACTAGGAACAAATTAAATGCAAAATGTCAAAGGCATAAGGTCATGTAAAATTGTGTATAACTGTAAAATCAATTTAATTTACACATTGCATTGTGAGCAGCCAATAAGTGCATGTGTAAACATCTAAAGCACCATAGATGTCAAAATACTAATTGGTATGATCATAAAAAAATTATTACCAGCAAAACAATATGAAAATCCTGACTACATATCTACCAGAACAACAAACATTTTTTCCTTAAAGCAGCTGCTACTTCTAAAACATTTTGGGGGTTAAAATTCATGAAAATGATAAATCCTATCTCAATACAATTTTCCCATCTTGTTAACCAGTTACACATAATGATATCCTCTTTCCACTTTCTTTAAACAAGAAAAGATGAGGGTAACAAAGATACATGTGGTACTCACCCATGTGGTCCCCAAACAGGTGCTGGAGGTGGGTGAAAAGGAGATGGACTTGTATAACCAGTGTGTGTATAGTCACCAGCAGTCCTTAGTCGTTTGCTCTGATCATATGCACTGGAATCCGCTACTATTCCTAAAAATAATTCAATATAAGAGCATTAAAAAAAGAAAAAAAAAATCGATGGAGAACTGCTCTGAAGTTAACCAGTTTCGATGAAGGAGAAGGATACTGTACTGACAGCATGTATATGTCACAGAATGGCACAATGGTAATGACAGGTGATTAAAAAAATGCACAAAATTTTGCCATCTCAAGCCAAGGTTTCTACAGTGAGAACAATAGAAAGGGGGGGAAACAAAGAGAAACCGAACATAGAAGAGTGGAAAATAAGATTTTGTAGGTTGCTAAGGGCTGGCCCAAAACTGCCAAATCATATTTGGAAATAAAATGTAGTTTGCAATTTGCACTGCATGGATCTTAAAAATATATATATAACCTTCGAAAATTCTACCATATCCGTTTCCACTGAAACATTCCGACAAACCCACTTTCTTCTATCCTTTCTCTGACAAATTTACAAGCAAATAAACAAGAATTATGAGATGCATTCCCTTGAAATATAGAAACTGAAATAAAATGAAAACAACCTCTTTTAATAAATAGATTTTTCTTCGCCATTTCTGTGTGCAGCACTGACTTTGTCTCTGTATCGAAGACCATGTCCTGGAAATAAGGAAACATACAAATAAAAATCACACTTCATGGGGGGGGGAGGGGAATCATATGCCAAATAGCCTTGAGGATATATGCAAGACATCATCTGCAATCTGCAATGTCAACCTGAAGAATATCTTTAGCCGCAATTGCTTGGTGTGCTGTAGTAAAGAGAGCAAAACCCATAGGTTTATCCCCTTTGAAATTTACTTGCGAAGCTTCGTATCCAGGCAACCATCTCAGCAGATTCAGCAATTCTCTCTCTTTTACATCATCAGGAAGGCCTGTTATGAAAATGGTTCGAACCTAGGCAAACAATTACATACACCTATTGTCAATTAAAAATTACCGTCACCCGGTAGGCGGAAAGTTCAAACTACAAAAAGAAATCCTTGAACCGCACTTTCCTTCTCCTTTGGACGGTTAGAGTGATTAAATTTATGGAATCTTCAAATATATATCGCTTCAGGGGGTTGAGTATTGTAAATTTGGTTATTCGCAGAGATCAATAGGTTACAATTTTGGACGGTGAAGTAAAAGACCAAGATACCTCGTCGGACGGGGGAGGAGGATGAGGATGAGGCATAGGAGGCGGCGGAGCGGCGGCAGCGGGGGCTGGCGGTGGAGGAGGAGGAGCGGCGGCTGCCGGAGGCCATTGCTGGTGGTATGGATGGATCCCTGCACCAGCCATGTGTGAGCTCAAGGTCCTGCTTGGTACCAACAAACGCAACACGAACAATGGAGCGTCTTTCAAGCCAGCTACATGTTTTGTTTATGTATATTATTTAAACCTAAACTAAATGTATTTTATCAAATTGTTTTTTACCCGAATTTTTTAAAATCTCATTTCACCTAACTGCTTATACCCCTTGTTTATATTGAGAGAAAAACGAGAAATAAGTTTTTTTTTTGCTTGGATAAGAGAGAAAATGTGGGAGGAAGAAAAAATAAGAAAGAAAATAAAGTGAGTCTCATGTTTTATTTTCTCTTCAAATTTTCTTTCCATATATAGAGAGATTTGGGAAAGAAAACAAGATTTTTATGACTGCCTCTCCTCTCTCTTCTGCACCATATTTATTTTCTTTTATTATATTTAAAAATTTATTCACTTTTTATTTTTTTTATCTTAATACAATATTTTTATTAAATAATTTGGTTTTAAAATATAATAATCTGAAAATATAGATAAACCCAGTAACTTGATTTTAAAGTATTTGATGATGTTAATATTAGTATAATTTATCTATTGCAATATATCATTTTAATTTAATTTTAAATATAATATATTTTGATAAGGTCATTCTAGTCATTTAGGTACTTGCTAATTTTTTTTCCTTCCTATTTTTTCTCATCTAGCCAAACAAGAGAGATGATAACATCTTCCATCCAGTTTTTTCTTCTCTCTATTTTCTTTTCTCCTATTTTTTTATTCTAACTTTTCTTCTCATCCAAATAGAGTATTAAGTTTTAGACTTGTATTATTATTTAATATCATTTTGTCTTTACTCTTTTGAAAAAAAAAAGAAAAAAAGTGGGGGACAAGTTGAAGCACGATCATAAATTCATGCCAATCATGACGCTGGCAACATGCAACAAGACGCTGCCAAGGAGCAAGTATGACTACCTGAGTATGTATTTGTTGCTTTTTGGTGGTTGCGCATAATGTGCTTTCGAGTATGAATCTGAATTTTTCAATGTCCCCTTTGATGTTCAGTGGGGAATGATGTGTTCGGCAGCAGATTGTGTCATGTGTAACGGTATCGTTTATGATGGCTAACCCATAGAAACTTTTTTGCTAAAATATAGGTATCCTCCTATTAGAAGCAATTCTATTCGAGACACTGTCAGGCATTAAATATGAACACATCTCCCAGTGAGGATTTGAACCTTAATTCTCCATGTTATGAGGAACTAGCTCCTTCCATTAAACTCAACCTTTATTAGTGAGCCATGAAAACTTAGACTTGAAGCAATTATCACTATAATGAATATTCGATCTGGCCCAAAAAAAATAATAATAATGAATATGGGCGAAGACTTGTGCCACTGACGCCATTGGTAGAGTGCCAAGGCCCTTGGCCTTAATGGTATCCAGAGTAACTCTTGTTGCAATTCTTCTCTTATAATATATTGATATTCTCAATAGTCATCAGCATCCTAAATTTAAAATACTGAGTTCTACTTAAAAAAAATATTTTAATGCATGCACAAAAAATTATTATAAGATACTGAATCTCATTAAAAAAAAAAGTATTTTAATGTATCGGATGGAACTCAAGCCGTTATCTTTTACTGATTTTTATTTGATTAAAATATGCTTTTAATTTTTTAACTTTGCATAATGTTTTATTTTAGTCACTTAACTTTAAAAAGTAAATTTTTACTCATCTAACTCTAAAATTGTTAACAAAAATGATGATATTGAGATCTTAAATATTGATAAAACATTACTAAATATTAACATATTAAGTTTACTATTCAAAATAACCATAATTGTTATAAAAAAAATAATCATTTCAAATTAACAATTTTAAGGTTAAAGGACTTAGAGTAACTTTTTAAAATTAAGGGATAAAACTGAAACTTTATATAAAAGTTAAAGGGTCAAATAATTAAAGGATTAAATCTATACTTTAGCACTTTATTTAGAAGTATAAAAATATAATCTACAAAATCATTTTACTTATTTTAATTTTTTTCATTTAATTTTATTTTCTCTTCAAAATCATTTCTATTAATTTTTACTTAGTAATATTTTGTAAATATTTTTTATTCCTTTTTGGATGGATGCCAATTGCCATCAACTTTTCACGAATTAAAACAGTCCCCCATCCCATTCTCTCTCAACGCAACCTCAGTCTTGAGAATCCAAGGAACAAAAGAAAGAAATTAGCTATAAAACGGCATCACTTTGAGTAGCGGATGGACAGCAAACCAAACGCTTTGTGGGGAGAAGCCACTCCCGCTTTGGTTTGCCTGTAATATGCTAACTCTGTTTCTGAATATAAAAATTTAATTTTAGATATAAGATTTTTATTTATTTTATCTCTCGTATTTATCTATTTTTTTAAGATAATCTTTATAGTAGTTGTACATGTTAAATATTTTATTAAATAATAGTACTAAAGGTATTTTGAGAAAGATAGCACTTATTTATTATAAATAATTAATTTAACAAACTTTCTTAATATACTCAAATTAGTTAACTAATTTTTATATTAAAAACCGGAAGTAGTAACAAAACTCTCGTATACACCAAAAATAATAATAACAAAGCATTTGTGTTACTCATACTGCTTCGATTTTTATTATTATTTTGATTTTTCATTTTTGTGATTTCATTTTTTTAATTTCTTATTGATATTCTTAATTAATATTTTTAATATTAATTTAATTAATTAAATATTAAATTAATAGTATAAATCATTGTTCATATACCTAGATCCTATTTGATATGAAACAGAAAGGAAGAAATTGTGATTGGTGTTAAGAAAACTCATTAAAACAAATTTTAATATGAGATATTGCTTATTAACTGAAATTAAACAAACCTATATAGATGGGATTAAAAAAAGTCATGGTATTCTTAATACCAATCCCAGTACCAATTAACAAATAATCTCCCATATTGAACATTCTTTTAATGAGTTTTATTAATACCAATCCCAATTTTTAGCATACAGCACTAACAGTTTCCTAAATTTTTAAATTAGAAGTTTTGATAGTTCTTGACGGCCTCATCTCAAGCACACAGGCACAAGTCTACAAAGATCGCAGATCAATCTCTAATATCTCTGCGCAACAAAAACGACGGGAATTATCACATGGGTAAATAAAAAGTCAAAAGGACCATTGCCGGAATACAAGAAGCACATAAAGGGCTAAAGCACCAAAGGGGAACAGTCCATTCAAAGCTATAAACGAAGTAAAAACAAAAATCCTTAAAAAAAACAAAAAGAAAAAGGACATAATGGCTGCATCTGAGTCCTAGACTAGAGAGGTTCCCAAAAAAGAAAAGAAAAGAAGGATGCTGGGTTTAGCAAAACTTGATGCAGCGACCATGAGAAGTGCAGGCTAGGTTGTTTATTTAGGGTACACCCATCAACCTAGCTTTATTCTCAGACTCACCCAATCCATGACTCCAGTTTAGAGAAGAAGGAAAAAAATTGAAAAAACACTCCGTGCTAGCCATCGAGCATCTGCCAGTGCTAAAGTTTAAGAAACACAAACTCTTCGATGGCAGGCACAGATCCTATCTTGTCAAGAGCTTCCTTGCTTGGTTCTTCATCCACACCAATAGCCATGATAGCTTGTTTCCTCCTGGAAGTTCTTCCCACACTCATGAAGCTGACATTAGCGTTATGCTCACCCAGAATGTTCCCTACCTTGCCGATCATTCCAGGTTGGTCTTGCTGGCGGCAGAGTATAAGGTTGCCTTCTAAGCTCACATCGGTACCAAATGAACCAACACAAGTCAAATGGGGTACCCCATACTTGACTCTCCCCTCAATGCTTATCTCACCATTCTCTTTCACAGCACTCGCAAATTTGGAATCCACATTGGATATTTGTACTTGGATTGAATGAACAGGGAATTCTGGGGATGAGTCAACAACTATACGTTCCTCACTAATGCGCAGGCCCTTCTGCTTAGCAGTGAAATCGGCATTCACAAGGTTGATATATGAGTTTGATATTGGTTCAATGATGCCTTTAGTGATCATCGCTCGTAGAAGTCTAGTGTCCAAATCATCTGGATTCCTTGCTGATTGATATGTCACTTTTACTGATTTGACCCCACTTCCTCCGGATACCAACTGGACTGCTAGCCTTCCCAGCTTCTCAGCTAGCACAACATATGGAGCCAGTTCTGACAGAACCTGATCACAACAAGAGTAGAAGATTTATGTATAATGTATGAATTGCTTGTGATAAGTCTTAGGGTTTAATTTGTGTCTAATTTTGAGTTTTTTTCTTTACCTCAGGGGCCACCATGGGAGCATTAACAGCTGTGGCTGAAAGTTCTCCTTTCAAAGCTCCAAGCACAGCCTCTGCTATCTCAATGGCTACACCCTCCTGTTCACTCAAAAGTTGATTCAAAATTCAGAAACATGATCGAACTGAAAGTGGGTTCAAAAAGTCAAAAGAAGACTGTGGGTGCAGAAGGAAAACCAAACCTGAGCCTCTTTTGTGCTAGCTCCAAGATGAGGCGTAACTGTCACGTTCTCGTGCTGCACCAACTTGCTGTCTTTGGATGGAGGCTCCTCAGTGAACACATCAAGTGCAGCCTGTTCCATACACAATTGTCAGAAGCATACATATATCGCAAGTATTCAAAAACACAGAACATCACAAGACTAAAAAGTACAATATCTGTGCATAGTGAAATCTTTATTTGCAAAGGTGTTAAAATACAACCAACACCCCCAAGTCTCATCAACTGTTCACATGGATTGCATGATACTATTAAGCCAAATAAACAACTTGGTTATTTTTACCAATAAGCGAGCAATTCAATTAAAACAAAAATTGAAGACAGGGGATATGCATGCATACCTGAGCAACAATTCCACTGTCAAGAGCTCTTACTAGTGCATCTTCGTCAATAACACCTCCTCTAGCGACGTTGATGATGCGTACTCCCTTCTTCATCTTTGCAAACGAGTCGTCATTGAAGATCTTATTGGTGGATGGAATGAGTGGCATATGAAGGGAAATAAAATCGGATTTTGAGATGGCCTCGTCAAACGAAACCAAATCCACACCCATGGCACGTGCCCGGTCAGCTGGGGCATAAGGGTCATGAGCCACCACGTGCATGCCCAACCCTTTTGCTCTCCTTGCCACTTCAGATCCCACTTTTCCAAATCCCATTATTGCCAGTGTCTTTCCCACCATTGAAACTCCAACATACTTGTTTCTTTGCCATTTTCCTGGAAAATAAAAGTTAAATTTCTTGCTAATTTCTTGGAACCATCAGATTCTCCGGTCTATATATCAAGACTTCTCCTAGGCAATTAAAGCGTCTCCATAATGAGTAAGCTTAAGATCCTAGTCTGTACGCTAAATTGCTTGCAACAGCAATTAATGTCAAAATCTTCGTATCCAATGATAGATCTAAAGATATTAATGCTAGAAAATGTTACTAGATCCAGCGAGATCCAGCGTTTAGTTCCCAAGGAAATTCAAAAGTTGAAGTTGTTGGACATGAAAATAAGTGTACAGTAATTTTTTTAAAAAAATGTATTATTGTGTCTGAGACTGAAATTGAATTGTTACCGGCTTTCATGGAGGCGTCAGCCTGAGCAACATTTCTGGCCATGGCGGCGAGAAGAGCGATGCCGTGCTCGGCGGCGGCAATGGTGTTGGCGGTGGGAGCGTTAACAACGAGGCAACCGAACTCAGTGGCAGCTTGCAGATCGACATTGTCGATCCCCACTCCAGCTCTTCCCACAACCTTCAACCTTCCTTTTCCAGCTTCAAACACTTGCCTCGTAACCTTCGTCCCGCTTCTCACAATCAAAGCGTCGCACGATGCGATCTTGGAGCACAATTCTTCAGGTGAGAGATCGTAGGCACATTCCACATGTCCGAACTCGCGCAATACTTGGAGCCCAGCCTCTCCGAGCTTCTCGGAGATCAGAATGGTGGGTTTCACACCCGTCGACCACGAAGAATAAGATTCCAAATCCTTCGAGGTAGAGGCAGCGGATGCATCCGCCGTTTTCAAGACATTGTTGACGAAAAATGAACGCTGGGAATGAGATCGCGATAGAGAAAGCTTGAGCTCATTGAAGCTGGTTGTATTGAGGAAGCAGAGAACAGAGGAGGATTTTGAAGGTGAAGAAGATGAGGAAGTGAAAGCAGAAGGCAAGAGAGGTTTGATTGAAGAAGCTGAGGAGGAAGCCATAGCTCTGTGTTTTCCTGATCTGCGTGTGCGGGTGTGAGAGAGACCTTATTAGAGTACTTATATATATACACACACCTACCAAGAAACTTCAACTTTCTTAAATTCCGAGAATGTTAATTGGATTGATTGTTGGATCATGGGATCATAAAATGAATCTGTTAAACGCAATTCACAAGGAGAATTCCAGAATTATCGTGCCATTATGAGGTAAACAAATCTACAGTTTACATTAGGATGAATCTATTGAGTATTTATCTAACAATTCTCAGAACTAGTAGGACATTTCAACTTATATTGCATTGCTTATTTTTAGGATGAATCAATAGGAAAAAACAATTTTTTTACCCAAAAATAGTTTCTTTCGTGTGGTCCAAAATTTACCCCTAAATACACATTTACTGCTTTGTTATTGTTCGCAATTAGCAGCCATACAAGAGTTCGTTGGCCAAAAAATAATAAAAAGAAAAGAAAAGAAAAGCAGCCATACAAGGTGTCAAATCAAATACTTCATTCTTGTTTTATTTAATTATAAATAATTAAATATACATTATATATAGAATATAGAATGGGCAAGTGGTGCATTATATTGTAAGTATCTGAATCAGGAAGCGGACAGGGGAAACGCATCTGGAATTAGGGTCTACCAATAATGGGGATTGCCCCTGGATTTATGAAAATGAGGGTAATTGCTTTTGGGCAGGTGAAATTCATCTCATGTACTTTTTTTCATTAATTAGAAGGGTAGGCACTGATAATCTAGATTAGTGTTAGAGTGGTAACTAAATCATAATTTTAAAAATAATTTTATAGTATACGAAATAAATACATGAGAGAGATTTTATTTTAATTGACATAAAAATATTTTTTAAAATACTTTCTCAGTATAAAAAAGCTTTCATATAATTTATAAGGATGTGTTTGAATTACCGGTTTGTCTTCAAAACGTGGCTTGGAAACGTGCAAAATGTGAGTTGCCGGTGTGATTGAAGACGAAAGTTTGTTTGGATCAACCTTCTTTTTCATCTGACTCCTGAAGGAAAAGCTCACTATCATACAAGCCAATTTTTTTAGCTTCATGTGTTAGGTTGCATCTCCTTCTCCCTACTTTTTTTGCTCTTTCCTTTTCTGCTCTCACAATTTTTGTCCTCATTCTCAACTTTGTAGCTTCCCCGTCATAACCTTTGTCTTGATTCTCATATTTTAATATTTGCATTTTTTTTTATTTCATTTGTAATCGCATGTTATTTTTTATATTATTTAGTAAATAATTATTAATTTTTACTAATAAAATAATATTTACTAATTTATTTATTTTATGATTTTCTCTGAAGTAAAAAAATTAATTAAGGTTTTTTTAGTATTTAAATTTTTTCTAATAATACATTAATTCTTTTTATTTTTGTAATTTAAATTTTAATATTTTTTAAAAAATTATCAAATTATATCATATATGTTATAAAACTCATATCTTTTCCCGTGATTTTATATCTAAACTTATTTTTTTATCAATCATCTAAACAAGTTTTAACTTCTCAAACTGACTTTTTATAAGAGTCAATCTAAACATTGATCAACGTATGCGAACTGACTTTTACCCTTTGTAAAAATCAGTTAGAATAAAAATTAATTTTGTAACCGCTAATCTAAACACACTATAAGTTCAATTAATGCGTTTAATCTTTGACCTTTTAACGTAGAACAATGCATTTAATATTTGCACAGTTAATGAGGATTTTTCTTGAATTCCTAATTAAAGAAGAGCTTGTCTGATTCAGATCTTACTCCTAAAAATGAAGATGATTTATCTTTGGATAGCAGCTTACTGTTTTAGTGTTTTTTTATTTATTTGGTAAACCTCATAAATATTTAAAAAATAATTTTTTTATGTAATTCAGATAAAACTCTGTTTAGATAATTTTAGATAAAACTTTTCTCACGTTGTTATCTTTATCACATAAAATCACTTTAATCCAAAAACGCCCCCATATCTTTGTTCTTTTAGTGCAGAACAATGCATCTAATAAAGCTGTTCGAAGTAAGCGAATACCTAATTCTTAAAAAATTAAGAAATGTCATTAAAGTTGGCTGAATTAATAAATATGTTACAAATACAAATTTCTTTCTCAAAATACTATCCTTTAATAATAACCCGCGTCTTTTGATAATTGATCTTATTGATAATACTTCTCTTTTTGCCACCTAATAAATATTTGTTTAATGAGGGTATAAAATGAATATCTTCATACATGCTCCATACAAGATATTGTCGTTTCTTATAAAAATAGGAGCAAAAAATTCTTGAAATTTTTTATGAAAAAAATGAAAGAAAGTCCTAAAAACTTAAAATGTCAATAAATGTGAGGAAAAGCCAATTGAGATAGAATCATAAAAATGCTCATGTCCACATATTAAATAGAAATTTCTAAAACCTCAATTGAAAATCTTGAGAACTAAATTAGAACCTGAAAGTTAGAGTTGTAATCCTTTTAATTAATTCCTTCTCCTGTAAGATTTATTTTATCATGTAAATTACATCATAAAATGAGTTTTACATTAAAATTCGATGAGTATTTTCTTCTTCTTCTTTTTTCTTTTAATATTAAAAATACCAAACCCTTAGAAAAAAAATGTAGATAAGTTGTAAAGGCCAGGATAATGAATACGAATAAATAGGTTAATTAAACATAATTTTAATTGAGATTTTCAAAATTTCTAGCTTAGCTCTCAAGATTTTTCTAGCTAAAGCATGCAGAATTTATAACTTAAATGAATATGGACATTTTATTTTCTTGTTTGGCTAAAATTGTCATTTCACATTTCAAGCATTCATATAACTATATATACCAATGGCAATATAAAAATAAAAAATGATACTTCTTGTCTTGAAATGATTGATATGTCTTTTTTAATTGCCAAACAAACAATGATAAAGTATACAAGTAGGTCCGAAATGCGTTGGCATATTAAACCAAGCAAGACATGAGATATGGCACTTGGTTATTATAAGTGATTTTTTATCCCAATATTAATACTAACTTCGTTATTTAATATAAAAAACTAAAAAAATTAATATCTGAATATATTAAAAAATTATTTACATAATTTATTTATAATAAATAGATGTTATTTTTTAAAATATCCTTATTAATCTTATAGTATATTGGAACTACACCTCAATGTATGCAACCATCATAAGAATTATTTAGGAGACAAAATAAATAAATATTAAAAATAAAATAAATCGAGACTGAGTTACTATATTTAAAATTAAATTGAATTTTCTAATTAATTTTTTTTTAACCAGCTTCTAATTAATTCTTATACTATTAAAAAGTGGGGTTACTAATAAATATTGTTTCTTGGCATGTGAACGTTGGAAGCGCTATGATAGCTTCTGAGGTTGTTCCGCTGGCTAACACCCCCCCCCCGGCGGGGACAACGCCGTACTTTCCTGGTGGGGCGTGGGTTAATCTATTATAGCCCGTTTGGTTAGATTCCATACAAGGAGATTGTAATCATAATGCAATGGGTTGATGTAATTGTTTGGTTAAGTTTGTGTAATATAAAAAGAATTATATTTTGTAATTCTGATTATCTTAAATAATGTAAGGGGGATTATACTTCTAGAACTAATAAATGAGAATGTAGACCTCTTGTAATCGAATGAAAAAGACATTATTACTTATATATGTGTGTGTATGTAAATAAGGGTAATTTTGTCTTTTAATACATTAACCAAACATTTTTATGTCTATGTATTATCTTTCCTTGATAGTATATCAAACAAACTCATGTAATCATTATTACATTATGTTCCATTACATTGCTTTACATTCTATTACATTTCTCAGGATTCAATGGACCAAACGGGCAATTATTGATAATAGTTTTGAACGCAGGTCACTTATAAATAGAAGTTTTAGTTTTAAATGCAAGTCATTTATAGTAATTAAGTTGGATAGAAACATAGATTTGTATAATTTTTTGTAAAAAAATTAAAAAAACACATTATAAGCTTAGGAGAGAAGGTAGACTGGGGTTTTATATTTATGACTGTCAACTGGCTCTTATTTTAGGATTGGAGGTAGTAATAAACTCCTTTCATTTTTTTTAATTTAATAATCAACAAGTTTTCGTTTTAAAAAAAGAAATCAACGAGTTTTTGCCCTTTTCTTAATGTTGTGGACATGTGAATGTGCCAAAGTGGACTAGTTGGGGAAGCCTCAAGACTGCAAGTTGGAGTGCGGCGAGGCACAAGTTGGAATAATCTGACTGGAAGTTGGGTTGAGGTGGGACAGTACGGACATTTTGACTGTGATATGCTTATAGCCTTTTAAGTATAAAATCTCTCAGCTTATGCTCATGCGGAGGTAAAAGACAAATTTAAATATTCTGACTTAAACTTGCTAATACTTAAATATGATTTTGTTATATATGACAAAATTTAAAATGTATATAAGTTAGTGAAAAATCAATTCAATAATTTAAGAAAATTAAAGAAATTACTAAATTATTTAATCATAGTATATATTATATGATCTTTCTAAAATAATTATGTGTATCGTTAGATTATATATCAACTTATAATTGAGACAAATTAGTTTAAAAATGATAAATATAAATATCTTAAAGTAATTTAGTAATTTTCTTAATCTTCTTAAATCAATCAAATCTTATATTAAAAACTAGATGTATTTTTTTTAATTTAAATCAAGCAGAACCGAAAACTAAACTAAATTGATCTTAGGTAAAAAGACAAAAAAAGAAATCTGAAATTGTGATATCTCAATTCGGGCACATAACATTTCAAAATGACTGAGAAGGAAATAAATTCACATCGGGGTTTTGAAATTCAAACAAAATTACAAAGATACCCCTTTATTATTTTTTAAAGAGAGTTTGGAACTCCTCATCGAAGCTTTCATTGGCCTTAGGTGAAAATTTTGTTTGCTGAGTTTTTCTTTTTTTGTTTAAATGGGAAGGAAGGGAGGAAAGTGGGGTTGGGGAGATTTAAACCCCCAACAAAGTAGTTACCAAAACAATGGATAACCACACAACCAATAATTAACAACACATTTTTTTCCAGACATATAACATGTGAATAAATTAAAAATGACACCAGTTTATTTGAAAATAATAAATTTTGATTGTGAAATAATAAATTTCAAGTTGAGATTAATAACACTTTCTTTTTCTAATGCATAACATATAACTCGTTATAAATCAAAATATTTTTTTATAAATTATAAATATTATAACTAGTATAATAAAAATTATTTTTTATATTTTTTATAAATTGAAGATAAAGTGTTTTTATAAGTTACAAATAATATTACAAATAATTAAATATATTTTTACATTTTTTATAAATTTTTATAAATCATAATTAAATAACTAATATAATTAAAAAGTATTTTTATATATTTTTATAAAATGGAGACAAAATATTTTTATAAATTATAAATAGCATAATTATTGTAATGTGATGACATGTTATTAATCTCAACTCGAGGCTTATTATTTCACAATCAGAACTCATTATTCTCAAATGAAGTGTTATCATTTTTAATTGATTTACATGTTATTTCACATGTGACGTATTAGGAAAAAATATGTTGTTAGTCCTAACACAAGACTTGTTATTCTATAATTAGGATTTGTTATTTTAAAATAAACTGTTATCATTTTGAATTGATTCATATGTTATGTGTATAAAAAAATGTTGTTAATCCCACTTGTAGACTTGTAATTTCATAATCAATGCTTGTTATTTTTAAATAAATTATTGTCTCAAACTGGAGCAATAAAGAAGTTAATTTATATATATTTTGCATAACAATATTAAGAAAGTTTTTTGGTTCAGTGGTTACTTAATACTTTGGCAATTACTTAGTTGGGGGCTCAAATTCCCCCGACCCCACTTTCTTTCTCTTTGAAAAAAAAAATCTCATTAGAAAAAAATGCCACCATGCAGCCACCTCGCCAGTGTCGACGCCGAAGCTCCGCAGCTACCTGTGGTGGTCGACAGCCAATCGCCAGCCGAGGATTCGGTGAGGGGTTTCAAACTTTTTAGGGGGGGAAAAAATAATGAAGGGGTATTTTTATAATTTTTCTTAAATTTTAAAATTACTATAATTTAGGTTTACTTTCTTTTTGTTATCATTTTGAAGTGTTAGGTGTCTGATTTGAGATATCATAATTTCAGGTTTCTTTATTTGTTGTTTTCCTTTGATCTTATTTTGAATCTAAAATTATGCTAAAGCTAATGAGTTCGGTTTGATATGATTCAAAGTGAATTGAGATCATTCCATTAGGAGAATAACTAAGATTTCTCCCTAAAGAAAATGAAGGGGAAGTACAAGATTTTATTGTTTATTTGAGGAAGTAAGGACAAGGGAGAGACTTAATTTATATTACTTTCGATCCTAATTATAAATCCTAGTTTATAGTATACAAACGGGATTTTATAATTAGAACCGGTGATTATGTGTGTGTATATATAACATAGAGAAAATGATAATAAAAGAACATAGAAAATGTAAAATTTCCCAAAAGATACCTAAATTAGCATAATCCAGAAAATTACAAAATTCAAAAATAGAATTTTAAAATTTAAGCAAAAAGACACAAATGTTTTAATTTATAATTTTTATTCTAAAATTGATAAAATGAATTGAAAACTTTAATTACGAGCTAAAGTTTAAGAAGAGAGTATTTTCTAAAAATATGATTTCTTTTTCTCATTTTTTCAAGATTTTATGTTAAAATTGTGACTTGTTAATTCCTATTCTTGGAAAGAAAGAGTGATCTTAATGTTGTTAACAAAAAATTGTTGATCTTCAAATTTTAAATGTCAATAAAATATTATCAAATACTAATATATTAAATTTAATTTTAAAAGTAATAATAATTGCTAAAAAAAAATGTCATTTGAAACCAATGGTGTTAGATTAGATGATGAAAAATAATTTTTAAAATTAAGAAATCAAACTGAAACTTTTTATTAAGTTAGAAAGACTAAAATGTACTTTTCCAAATTGAAAATCCCAAAAACTTGGTTAAAGCATTACTCCTTGTATTTCAAAATTCCTAACTCTGACTCTTAATATAATTAAATTACAAATTAACTTTTTTTTGCCAAGTACAAATTAAATCTTACATAGAAGGTAATACTAGTAGTATGTTTTAAAGCATCAGCATACAAATTAAAATTGTAATTAATATATAAAAATATATACTATATTGTCAAAATTATTCTCAAAACTTAACAAGTACTCTTTTGAAGTTGCTCGAGTAAATAGGGCATAATAAAAAGATCATAATAAATGCCATTTGAAATTCTAAAAAGATATGCAAAATGAAACAACAAATTTTCTCTAAAAGACTTGCATTTTGAAACAGAATGAGTATTATTCATTTCTATCCCCTTGCCTCTTGGCTACAAGAAAAAAGGATCCGCTTGGGCTAGGACCTTTTTCTGGGCCACAAAATAGATCTCCGTTTTTTTGGCCCAAGATGAAATATCTTTTATGTTTTTTAACAGCCCAAACATCTATTATGGAGGTGTTTAGGTAATCCCAAAACCACCTTTCAAAAGTATTTTTTTACAAATTGAGACAAATTTCTCTACATATTTACTTTATATATCGTAAGATTACTTTTAAAATCACAGTTTTGATTCTACTCAAACGCCCCCTATGTCATTTATAAGTAGTTCAAATTACCAATCAGGATTCTCATGTAACTAGTCCTAACAGTATCTCAAATAGAATTAATTAAAATAAGAAGATGTTTATATATATTAAAAAAATATAATAAATAAGTAGTTCCAATTTATAAACTCATTTTTGAGAAAAACTCAAAGAAAGCATTTAATGTTATTGAACTACAAGACCTTTGACAGTGATGTTACCAAATACCGATATTACTCCTCCGGTCCTTAATATAGGACCCAATTCTTGAGTTAGTTTTGGTCCTAAATATAAGACCCATTTCTTATATTTATCAATTTTCTCTAAATTACCCTTATAGATACTCCCTTAATCATAATTAAGTAAAAGAGAGAAAGGGGGTATTAAGAAAGATGATTATGGTGTTTTAGGAAAAATGTGTCAATTTTCTTATAATTAACTGACTTACATAAGTTCCTTAATCTAATCAAATTAGTTTAGTGGGTCTTATATTAAGGATCGGAGAAATAATAATATATACACTGTCAAAGGAAAAGTATTAATCATATATCCAAAGATACTATGCCGATAATGTCGTAACCACAAAGGACCCTTTATCATTAATTTCATTCCTCCCCCTCCATTATCCGGCACTTGCATTTAAATTTAATAGGCACAAGTCACCCAAACAAGTACTATTTCTTCTATTTCTTTGGATTCTGCCTTTTATTTCATTTTCATATTTTTAAACTCTAATTCTAATTACTTTTTAAGTTTAATTGTTTCATTTTCATCTCTACTCCCGCCTCCATGTCACTCAATTGATTATAGAAAGAATTAATATCAATATTAAATTCTAATTCTAATTTACTTTTTAAGTTTAATTGTTTCATTTTCATCTCTACTCCAGCCTCCATGTCACTCAATTGATTATAGAAAGAATTAATATCAATATTAATGTGTGTGTGTGTGTGAAGATTAGGATGTGTGGCGAGAGTTTCATAGGGAAAATTACATTGACAGAACAATTTAAAAAGCATATGAAGACTAAAGCAAAGACTAATAACTTCAACATTTATCTGTCTTTCATAGTAAGTTGTCTTAGTGATAGTGCCATCTGTTACACTTGAATAAAATTTTAAATTGGAGCTGACATTAATATGTTGTGCACGCTCGTGTGTTTGATTGTATAAAAATTAACCAAAAAAAAAAACTGCATACCCTGTGCATGTGCAAGAAGGAAATCTCAAGTGACAAATTACACACATATTGAAGCTGAAGTTTTTTGAGTATTCTATTATTATGTACAGAACTGCTAATTTTGATGAAAAGGGTATGGAAACAAGAAGAAGACCATGTTTGCCTGAATCAATTAACAACCTACAATATCCTACAGTGGAATTTGTCAAGAAAACAACTTGAAGATCAATTAGTAGTATATTCATCTGCTTTTTGGTATTCTTGCCCTTTCTCTGATCATCTTGCTCCCCATGTACCTGCCACCCAAACACAGCCATATCATTCATTTGTCATCTCATGATACTTTCACATTTTGAAATTATGCACCAACTAGTTAGTTCAAATTGAGTATATTAAAAATAATAATTAATAATTAAATAGTGAACAAACAGTAACATAAAATTTTAATTTAATTAGATTATTCAAAATATTTAATAAAAAAAATTATAGAAGAGTTTTTTTTTTTGGACTTAGACAGGAGTAATTTAAGCTCCCACGATACCTTCCGAGCATCATGATGGTGGCTTGAGGATTTGTGCCTGGCGATATACTGAAGACGGAACCATCCACAACCCGAAGCGAAGCAACGCCGATGACCCTAAGCGACGGGTCAACCACCCTCCCCACCACACATCCGCCGTGATAATGCCATATGGTGTTCACCGTCCGGCGACAGAAAGCCGCCATCTCCACGTAGTTCATCTGGTTCAAAGGCATTGCCGGTCCCGCGATTCTGAACTCTCTTCCCCCTAACCAGTTTCTGAATTTGAAATCATTGAACGCTCTGCTGCTCAGAATTTGCCCAATCTTCCTCGTCCCGTTCACGCACCGTTCAACGTCTATCGCCCTGTTGAAGTAATTGAATCTAACTATGGGATTCACCCTCACGTCTGTTGATGCCAGTCGCAGAAACCCACTCGACACCGGCCCTATGGTCTTTGCAATTAGGGTTGCCACCGTGAGGTAAAGCGGCGGCGATGGTGTTCTGATGAATGCAGAACGAGAAGGCGATGTAAAGGGAATTACGGTTGAAGCTGCTTCAATATATGCCCCTGAATCTGTTATGCCCACAACCTGTATGAGAGAATGCTCGAGTGGGATTGAAGGCACGAAGCTGATACTGTTTCGTGGATTATCGTAGAGAAACTGCCCAACGTGAGGAAGATGATGAGACACTGGAATGCCCCAAGAAGATAGATAAGGCCTTGGACCGATTCCACTCAGAAGAAGAAGCTGAGGAGTTCCTATGGCGCCTGCACTGAGGATTACTTCTCCATGTTCGCGTAACAGTGCATGATGGTGAATTCCAATTTGATCACGATAAACAACCCCAATTGCGGATTGTTTTGAGTTTGAAGTTTCCGAAGCGAGAAGGATTCTATCTACGCTCGCATATATGGCTACTCTGATATTGCGTGCTCTGGCGTGGGTTAGTAGGTCAGCCGCACTGCGTCTTTTTCCGGAGGGATCAAACGTTGTGCCACCAATTTTGGTTCCGATTTTGTGATCTAAGCTGAATCCATTGTATGGACCAACCCCTGATTCGATCAACCCATCACGAACCGCAGACTGCCAAGTCTTGATCACTGGTTTGAACACAATTTGTTTTTCAACCCATTCGTATGATTCGTTCACGAGTTTGAGGTCCCACGGTATACGGGACCTTCTGAAGAAATCTTCATCGGCGCGGCTGTAGAAGCCGGCGTTAATGGCGCTGCTTCCACCAAGAACGCGTCCCCGAGCATTCGAGACGCCATCTTCAGAAGTGAAGGATTGTGCAGGTGAGTCGTAAGTGTGGGGATTATCCATGAGAGTCGTCAAGAACCCTTCTTGGGTCATCAAGTTGAGTCTGCCATAGCCAATTCCTCCACGTTCAAGCACGAGAACTCGAAACATAGGCGACAATGTCGCCGCCAATGGGCAACCGGCAGTGCCACCACCGACAATGATGTAATCATAGCTATCTTCAGAGGGCATTTCACTGGCGTTGAACACAAACCTCAGGTAATTTGGTTCTGAGCAAAGAATAATCACGAAAGAACAATCGGTTTCTTGCCCAAAGAAACATAAAAGAAACAAATGGAAACGCAGAAATTGAAATGAAGTTTGGGTACCTTGCTGAGGCGGCGTCTGTGCTTTACAGTGAAAGATTGCGCCATAAAACAGGACAGAGGCGAGATACTGCAACCAGATGCTGATGGGTCTCGCCATTAATTTTCCTCGAGTTCTTGGTGTTATAGAGATTTTCTCAGTGGTTCTTTCCTAGAGGGGGGGGGGGGCAGCAATGTTTTGTATCAAGGATTTGAGTTGGCTGAGGATTTCGAATTATCCATTGGAATGATGTGAACCTGCGAACTTATGCCTCTGAACGAGACTGGGGAAGTAGAAGGTAAGGAAGTAACATGTAGCTAAACTAAACTCTCCGGCTTTTTGACCAAAAAAAAAAAAAAACAACTAAACTCTCCGGCTGGCTTTCAAAACTACATCTCAATTTTTTTGGCCAATTATACCTCAGTGTTTTTTGGCCAAGTATATCTCACAAACCCCTCGAGCGTTTTGATTTTCTATTCCTCATAATTTGTCTTCTGATAAATTGCATGTAAAAAGTTTCGTTGGTAAAGGCAAAACCCATTTTAAGGGCTTGTTTGGTTTGAGAGGAGGGTAGGAAGGGGAGGGGAGGGTGAGGGAGGGGAGGGGGTTTTATCTTCACTTTGTTTGATTTGATTAAAAAAGAAGAGAGGGGAAGATATTTAATGATTTCTTGTTTGGTTCAAGGAGGGGAGGGGAAAGATAATAATAATCAATTTACTATTCTACCCTTACATATTAGTTTATGTTTTTCATTGATATATTATATAAATTAATTTACATCTTAATTTAAATTATATAATTTAATAAAAATTCAGTCCTATCATGTTAATATGTGTATTAAAAAATTGGTACATTAATTTTTTATTCTAATTAATATAATAATATATTTAAAATAATCAAATTAACAAATTTTATATACTCTAAGAAAAATGAAATTTTATTCTCTTTAGGCTATCTTTTTTTCCAGCTTTAAAATATATTTAATAAATAATATATTTATAAAAAAGAATTAATTTTATAATATTATAATTTTTTATTTAAATAATTTTTTATAATATATTTTTTTATAATAATGTATAATTTTTTTTTTTTTTACTTAGGATAATATATTTTTTATTTGAAATAAATAATAATATATTTTATGAGTAGAAGTGGAGTATTAAAAAAATTATAAGAATATAATGGTCCAAGAATTTGGCTCTCCTCTAAAAACCCCCAATTTGAAGGGGAGCTAAAATGGGAGGAGGGAGGGGAGAGGAGGGGACATTTTAGCTCTCATCCCCTCCAAAATTTTTAATCAAATGAGGGGAGGGGCTTATTTTTCCTCCCCTCCCCCCTCCAACCAAACAAACCTTAAGTATCGAGAAATACCACCTAGTTTCTATAAATATATATATATATATATATATTACTATAATTACTATGATGCGGTGATGGCGCAATGGGCTTCAAAATATGTGTATGAATTAGTGGTGGCAAAATTGATTTTTAGTCTATCTATTTTTGTAAAAGTCAATTAGGATAAAAATTAGTTGACGTGATGTGATTTATGTTTAGATTGACTTTTATAAGAAAGTCAGTTTGGCAAATTAAAACTTGTTTGTATGAGTAAAAAAAAAAATTTAGATGTAAAATGACTAAAAAGAACATAAACTTTATTATACATATAAATAATGTGTATAATTTGGGAAATTTAATAGAGATATTAAAATTAAAAGTATGAAAATAAAAAGTGTTAGTATATTATAAGAAAAAATTATAAATACTAGAAAAACACTTAATTAGATATATTTAATGTAACTTAAAGTATTTAGTAGTAAATTCAGCATCTTAAAATATTTTTTTTAAGTACGTCTAGCGTCCTAAGTTATTTTTTAGATGTATCCAGTGCTCTAAAATATTTTTTAAATATATTTAACATTTTAAATTATTTTTTGATGCTTCCAATACCTTAAATTGCTAAAAGTAAAATTACATTAAATAATATTTTAGGGTATTAAATGTATCTAACTATCTAAGATAATATTTTAAAATACTAGATATACCATTAAATACTTTAAAGTGCTGAATATACTTAAAAAAAATATTTGAAGGTGTTGGATGTATCTTAATTCTTTAAATAAATAATGTAAATTAGGTTTTATTTTTTTTTTTAATTACTGCTTGTTTTTCTCTCTCCACATTTTGAACCAACTTTTTTCATATTGTACCAAAATTTAGCTTTGACCCAATGTGTGACGAGGCTTAGAAATTTTTTAAAAAAAATGTTATGCCAAAACACACACACACACATATTAGCTTGTTGCCCAAAACGTCAGGCGCGTTTGCAGTGCTCATAGGAGATTCAAACACGCTGAAAGCCATGAGGTTGAATGTTTCCAAGCTTGGAGTTAGGTACAGATTTTCATGGATAGTTACTTTCGTTTCAAAGTCGTATGGAAGTATCATAGCGTGATAATAGCTTTTCCGCAAGAGGGCTGAGCTCATGCCACTTTCATATGTTGACTATCCACCTCACGCCCCCTTTTGGTGGGATCTTTATCTTTGAATCGGTCCAACGGGATTTTTTTTTTTTGGGAAAAAACAGTACTTACTGGTAAGTCAAAGTTAATGTAATTAATTAGACAAGTTTGTCCTTCAAACCATGAATAAAAAAAAGCATCATTATGTACTTCAAATAGAATGTACATTTTATCATCATCAAATGATGTGTTGAAGTTGGATAACGTACGGAATAAATGGATTATTAATAGGCCCGAGAGAATTTGATGGATCGGGCCAGACACAATCCTTGAGTCCATGGAGAAAACATTTGAGCAGATAAGTCATTTAAATAGATCAATAAGACACTAACTAACAAGAGTTAGTCTAGTTAGAGAAAATAAAAGAAAAGAATCGGCTCATAATTCATATAATTGTGAGTTTGTATTTTGCTCCTGATATTAAGACCTTATTGATGAATGATCTGTAAGTGCCTCTATAAGTACTCTCTAAACTTGAAAATATGTCCTGATCTTGGTAAACGTTAAGACTCAACTCACACATAAAATAATTTTTATGTAAAAAAAAAAAAAACACTAAGAGGGACGTGATTGTACTTTTTTGGACTGCCTCCCTGTTCTGGAATCATGCACCATTTGAATTTAAAATTTCTCCTCTTCAAAATAATTTTAAGCCAAAAGTGAGAGCTCCTAGTGTAACAACAACAGCAACAACAATAACAAAAAATCGAGCAACCAACAAATGCCAGCTTGAAAAGTGACTCATATTTAATGCTTGATAGTTTTTTAAATAGAATTGTCTTCAATAAAATACTTATTTTTTTGATTTTATATTTATGTAATTTTTGTTAAGAAGAGAAATATATGAGAATGATTTGTAAATATAAATAGAGAAAACTTTAATAAAAATAAAATTAAAATTTTTTTGTCGGTTTAATATATTTATTGACATGTGATATTATATTACAAGTAATTTATATTAATAACAGGAGTAGTACAAGTAATATTCTCTCACACTGAGTTAGTCTTATAGGAAGGGCAGAGGAGCTGATCCTCTTGACGAGAGCAGTGATTGAAAGTTTGCTTGGAAGTGGGCTGGTTTAGGCACTTTGTTTTCACGATTAATATGAATTTAAATGGTTGGAAAAAGGGTTCAATTTCTCTTCGTCTGCTCCAAAAAAATCAAATAATTTTTTTACCCTTCCCCCTTATTTCTCATATCTTCTTACTTTGAAAAACACCAAAAAAATTTTTCAACAAAATAGACTAATAAAAAATTTACGACAAATAATCCAGGAAATTAGGGTAACAACTACGATGAAAGTATTAGCATTTGTCAAACAAGAAAAGTATAAATTATAACATAACTATATTTTTAATAAGAAATAAGAAATGAAAAAAAGGAACTTAGATGAGGGTATGAAATTCAACTTTTTTTTTTTGAGTAGGATGTTATCGCTAACTCAGGGTATCCCAGCGTATCGGCCAGACTAATCCCAGGGTGCCTCGCCAGGAATCGAGCCCATGACCCGGTAGGAGAACGCGCCTTGCGCCCCCGTTTGCGACCAGTCGGACCCAAGCCTTGCAAGCAACTTTTTAATAGCTCCTTTATGCATTGTTTGGTTGGAAGGTTTTGGAAGGAATGAAGAGAGAGGAGATAATAAAATGTATTTGGTTTGGAAAAATAGAGGGGAGGAGAGGAAATTTTTTTTGTCTTTTAGTACTTCCCTCCTTTCTTTTCACTCCCCTTCAAATTTAAGATTTTTTGAAGGAAAGAAAAATATTATGTCTCACCTTAACTAAATTATCTACGTCAGTTTTTAAATATTTCGAATTTATCCTTTTAAGTAAAAACCTTTTTTTAACTCTTTCGGTTGCTATTCTTTTTAAATTCTAAGTTTATCTTTTTTAGTAAAAGCCTTTTTAAATGATATTTGATAATAATGATATAATATTTTTATCATGACTGTACTCTTGTTCTTAATACAATATGACAAGTATATATTTTTTATGACGTGTACATTTGATAATGATGATATAATATTTTTCATGATATGCATATATTTTATAGATATGTAATTATTTTGTACATGTGAGATAACTAGTTTTTTTTTATTCATAAATTAGAAAATAATAATTTTGATATAAATATATAAATAAATTAATAAAGAAATAAGAACATATTTGTCAACTTATAATTAGTTCTCCTCCTCTCCTCTTCTGAACCGAACAAAAAACATTTCCTCCTCTTCCTTCTCCTCCAACCAACCAACACTCATAACCTTCTCTCACTTCCACTCACCTTTACCCCTCTTCCCTCCCTTCCATTGAACCAAACAAAGCCTCAAGATATCCTTAAAATATCTTCACTCGTTTCTCCTCGAACCAAATCAAACAAAAGTATTACTAGAATTTTCCTTCTCTTCTTCTGCACAGAAAATGGACATTCAATTTTGGTCGCTTGTTGCTTCTCTTTTTGCATTCTGCCTCTTCTTGTTTTATAGTCCAAGTTGTGAAGTCATACATGGAATGAAAGAGACCTTTCATGAATAATCCCAAGAATTAAAAAAAAAACAACGAGGAATAGTGTAGGCCAAAAATTAGATTCAAACCTTTTTATATATACCAACACCACATTTTATAAACCAATAAGGTTGAATCTAACAAAAATATAGAATAGCTTCTTATAATATGACGAACTAAATTTTCAATTCTTATTGAAAATATAGTCACATCTAGTATCCGACAATTATGATTTATGAATATAAAGTAAGTAGATAAAGAGAATTTTGTCTCGGATGAAACATGTTTACACGTACTTAAATATATGCAAATAAGCCCTTAATTTACCAATTCATAAGCCA